CTCTCTCTCTCTCTCTTACTCATACGTTATTACAATATTTATAAATTCCTAAATAAGTTATGCTAAAATAGAAAAATTTGGACAAATATTATAATGAACAATTAACTGAAAAGGATAGTAATAGATTGTCCTAAAATTAAAAAGTTCAATAATTTTTAATTACATCAATACTATTTTATTTTATTTTTTATACTTAATAATAATGTATATTATAAGTATTATAAATTTTATATGCAATCTCCTAATTTATATGACAGTTCCATGCCGACTGATTTATCATTATAATTAATAACAATATACATTATAAGTACTTTTATATTTTCTAAGCTAAAAATTTATATCTTTATGCGATATATAACTTGTTCGTTTATCATTATAGTTTATAATAATAAACATTACAAAAAATCTAATTTAATAATTTACATGGATAGTTCGACAGATGATTGTTGATATGTTATCATAATTTGTAACAATATATTATATATATCTATATTTTTGTTTTCAAATTAATAATTTACATGTCAGTTCGACATAACTTATTTTTAATTTTTATTTTGTTATTATATTTGTAATTTATCATGTACATTCAAATAATAATTTCTACAAACAAAACTATTTAATAGTCGCTTTTCTGAAGGCACATTGTAGAAAATCAAGGTATATGTTGGTTTACAAAAAGAATTAGAAATTGCAGTGATTCGTAATTAATAAAAATGATCGAATCTTTATCATGATAATTATCAGAAAATAATTTTAAATTTGATACTGCTTTACTTATAGAAAGTCATGCTATTAACCGAATTGCACGATTTGCAACATGTAGGTATAATTTAATTCTTTTTTTATAAAATTAATGTAGTTTGTACATATTTCCTTTAATAGTAAGTCAACCAGTTTAATTACCAAGTCAAAGTTACTATTTTAGATTATTCCAATAGACTCTTTCAAGATATACATGTATAGATTTTAAGAAACATTTTGAGAGTTTTCTAGATTTCACACTTTTTTAGATTTTGAGAATCTTTTAGAAATACTTGTAAAGTTGAGGTTTAGGTTGAGATTTCGTATAAAGCTTTTACTTACTAAATCTCATCAAATCTTAAATATGCTAGTGTTAAATAAGTTAAATACTTCGTGGTTTGTTAAGATATTTTGAAATCTCAAATGAATACATCAGGAATTTTAAAATTCTTTAAAAAGTCTAGCTTAAATACATCAGAATTCTAAGAGGACAATTGAGTACGAATTAAAACCGATTTTGACCAACCGGATATGAATAATTTTATCACATCAATATGAATAATTTCATCACATCAACTTTATTCATTATTCATCACGCTCACATATTTTTAAGAGCATCCACATTTGTTCATTCAACCATTTCAATGGTAATCAACACTATTTAATCCAGTGCAACCATTCATTTGATGGTTGTTAGTGGTGGGACCCATGACATTCATTTCATATTTTAAATGTCATTCAAATATTAACTTTTTATATAAATAAAATTATATTTATATTTTATCATATATACAAAAAAAATTAAATAATGAGATAATGGGTTCCACGCATTTGCATTTAAATGTATCAACCAATGTTGAATTAGTGTTTAACTGAATAAATTTTAACGAAATGATGATGTGGAGATGAAGTAGATGAAAGAGATAATACTTCTGTATTTAAGTGAATGGTATCAATGCCCTAATTACCTAGCATTTTTAATAACATCTCTCCAACTTTACATTATATTTTAATTATTATTTAAACACAAATTCAAAATCTCAATCGTCATCAACTCAATTAGATTTATTCAAAATAGCTCTCTTAATTAATAAATCCAATTAAAACCGGTTTTATTTACATCCAATCACTCCCTCAGGGGGCTATAGGCTACATAAATTACTCGACTTGGTCGATTGGATACCTTTTTTTACACCTTCTAACTCAAAATTCAAGTGAACTTTATTCCACAAAACTATCATTAGTATTATCAAGGTAATTAAATAATATCAATCAATCATCTTCATACATGACATCAACTTTATTTCACAATTCATCTACTAACATATTTTTAACTACTCTTCAGATCTAATTACTTCTTTCATACTTTTACATCACATCAATTTAAATCATTACATTTTAAATATATTTATATACAGATTCAAATTCTCACTCAAACCTCCGCTCAATTAACTGTATTTAAAATAACTCATTTTATCCAACAAATTCAGTCGACGCAAAAATATTTAATATTCAACCATCGCCTTAGGGGTTGACTGAATGAAAATAAAACAGTTTCAACCGTCGCTTTAGAATAAAGAAGAATCGCTCTCTCCCTATCGCTTTAATCTCTGAAATTTCGGCCGCCTTTCCCGGTAGGGCGCGTCGAGAGCTCGGCGGTGGTTCTTCTGGGCCCCGCAGCTCGCAACGGAGAGATGTGCTGCTGGAAGGGGCTTTTTCTCCAGGGAGTAGCTGGTGCCGTCCTCCGGTTACTAGCCTCTAGTACCTGGTTTGAGTGGCGGATGTCTGGCTCCTCCGGTATCTCCGCTGTGGCGGCTCAGGTGCTCTCTCGAAGTGAGCTGCGACCCAAATTTCTCGAATTAGGGTTTGGGGTGGGGTTAGGATTCTGGCCATCTGGCCTCTCCTGGTTCTGGTACAGAGCTCAGCGGTCAGTGATTGTTGGGTGGATGTTGATTCTTGGCCTTATGGACGCCGATCGGGTGTGTGTGGGGCTTTTGGGTTTCGGTCGCCGGAGATCGATTGGCGGGTCTTTTGTGCTGGCTAGGCTGGCTTGGTTTTGGGCTGGGTCGGGCTTCTTTGGGCTGGTTTGGGCTGGTCTGAGTTGCTATGGACTGGGCCGAGCTGGGCCGGGTTGGGCTGTTGGTCTGGTGTCTTGTTCCCTCGGTGCGGGTGGAGTTGTTCGTCTGGATGAAGATTAGGTCCATCGACTCTTGATTCAGTTAGGCGTCCTCTTGCAGTTTCTGGGGCTATATCCTGGGCAGAGTCTTTGCTGTTGTTTGTTCTCGATGTGGTTTCTGCTGTGGGAAGGGCTCTCGTTTATTTTGTTTGTTTTTATTGTTGCTTGAGTCTGTTTAGTTAAGTGTTTTTTGTCTGGCTCTTTGCCTGAGTGTTTTGTATTGTCTCTTTGGTCTGGGCCGTTGGCCTCTGTGCTGATTCCCCAGTGGGGGGCGATCCTAATCTCCCGTGGGAAGCGATCCTAGTTGTGTTGGTGTCATTTAGTTGTGTGTAGTAGGTTTTCTATTCTAGCGTGGCTAGCGAGGCTCTAGGCGGTCTTTCGATCCGTCCTTACAATTTCTAGTTCTTAGTTGTAATATTCAGCCTTGGGCTACTTTTTGCACATTTGTGCGTTTTGATATATAATACCTCTATCGTTTCGGCAAAAAAAAAAAAAAAAGATTGAGCGAGAGATTGATTGAGATTTTTGAGTTTATAGTTCAATAATATTTAAACTATAATGATAAAAGTTGAGGCAGTGTAAAAGTGGGGAGATGTTATTGAAAATGATAGGTAGTTAAAATTTATGTGAGTGAATAAATAGTAAAATACAGTTTATGTGATGTGTGAGGAATTGATTGATGTTATTTAATTATAGTCATAATATTGATGAGAGCTGAGTTGGATTGAAATTGAGTCTAATTTTGAGTTAAGAGATGTAAAACAAATTTTCTTGTTAGTCATAATCGATTTTAATATGTAGGGAAGTCCCTAAACAACAACTCAAAGAACACTAGAAAACTTAAACAAACATGAACTAAACTGTCTAGCCAACAAATGAATATCCTCAGCTAAGACATTGTTGAGGAAACTGAAAGGCCTATTACAATTAAGAATTTTAATAACCTCTTTGTGGTGAAAGCAACAAGTGATTTTCCTCTAACCTTGCATAAGAGCAACCTTCAATGCCCATCTGATTGCATAAAGAGATAGACCCTCCTAATTTTCTACAAAGTGCTCCTCAGCTTCTAATATTTTTTAGTCTTGCTCAACAACAACAACAACAACAACAACAACAACAACTCCCAGTTTGATCATCCAGTAGGGGAGTTGGTGGCGCTGACAGTAAAACACACATGTCCTACCCTATTGGAAAATTATCCTTCACTCAAATGGATCTCTGCTGGTCTGTTAACCCCTTTCACACCTAACTGCCCTTGAAGACCACAAAATTCTATCCATTCACTCCTAGCCCCTTGTACCAGTTCTCTTTCTCCCAACAATTCTTTCCTAAACATCCAACCAATTATGGTGTTCACAACCACCAAAGAATATAAGAGGGAGGCTAATTTTATCCTTGATGGTTTTGGAGTAGTCTGCTAGACAAATTTCCCACCATCAGCTTCTAAAAGAACAATATTGGGTTTCTAGCCCTACCCACTACACTCCACTCAGTTTTCAGCAAAACTTGGCTTTAGCACATCTAAAAAACATATGATCAAAATCCATCGCTCTTCGACCCGATCCCGCTCGTGTGCCCGACTTA